ATTTGTCTTCATGCATTTTGAAGGAGTATAGGCGCTGCTTCAGAAAGAGCCTATTAGCCAGAGACTTTGTCAGGTAGAGTACCTCGAGTTTGGCCCAAGGTGCTTGAGCCGTTGTCTCCCTCAACACCTCCCTCAGATTTTTGTCGCCCAAGCTCAGGATTATCAAACTGTGGGCCTTGTCCAGTATGACGATCTTCTCCTTCTCGGTCATGTTGGCCGGCAATGTCGCCGACCCTTGCAAGGCTTCTGCAACACCCTACTGAACCAATAGAGCTCTCATCTTTACTCTCCATAGACCAAAATCATTATTCCCGTTGAATTTCTCGATGTCGAATTTGGCGGAACCCATTATTGTGGCTTGATCCCCACTAACGTCTGAAATCCGCTCTGCTGAGCACCTACTGAATTCCGAGAGCTGTCGCAGCGTGCTTCTGTCGCGACGTGTGCTAGCTGTCAAGGAAATTCTCCTCCTTTGCGAGATCTGCCCCTTCACGGACCGAACTACCTGCCTTCCTCTGCTCTTTCGCGGACAATTCCTCCTCCGTCTCGCCGAACCGCACAACCTGCGGTGCTAATCCAGTTGATCAAAGCTTCCACTGCTCACCGAATCTGTCGTGATTCGGCTGCCTGTGACGCGATCCGCTTGTTCCTCTGTTCGTGAATGTCGAACGAATGCCAAACTCCTCTTCTTCGTCGCTGGCCGCGAACACCTCTAGCCAAGAAGTATGGATCTTCCCACAGACGGCGCCAACTGTTGTGAGATATGTACTTCCTGGCATACAAATGAAACACAAAGAACACAAGCAAACACGGAATCAATCAAATATTTCACTAAGGCAAAAGAAATGGAGAATACATAGCTTATACATAGAGATGAGCCCTCATCTTCCTTCTACGACCTCCCTCTCAAGCGACACCTTGATACAAGGCCTCAAGATGCTCTCCTCCTCTCTAACTCTATAGCTATTCACTCCTCCTTTGTGGTAGCATAAGATATCTTCTCCCTTTCCTCTCCTAAGCCTCACACCCTTAAGATCTCTTCCCTTGCTCTCCTAAGCCTCATACCCTCTCTATTTATAGAAGCAAGAGTGGTAGGTGGGAGGTAGGTGGGTGGTAGGTGAGCGGTAGGTGAGATGTGGTAGGGGAGCGGTATCACATTACAAAAGTGCCCTTTTACCTTAGTTCATTAATTGGGAGTCAAAATAACAGTATTCTACTTTAAAAACAGTCACATTTTTTAAGTAATGATAACGATTTGAGACATGCATGTAAAAATGCAAGTTTGGGCATTAGACATGTAAATACGTAATAATTGTGTGGTATTCATGTAAATATGTAAGAATAAGCAATGTGAACTATATTCACTCACCTCGTTGACGAAGAACGCATGAAATCCGTAAGGCACTCTGGAGGGCAAGTCCACAACTGCCACAGGTTTAGGAGACATCGTCTTTGCATCAATTACATTGACTTTAGATTCCCTGCATTGTTTAATCATAGAAGAAAAGGTAATATTTGTCTCTGGCTACCATAAAATAAGGCAAATAAAAAAAGACCGATTTCCCATGAGGGATTGAATTGCGATCTAGGCACTGCAGTGAAAAGCAAAAGTCTAACAATATCAACCTTAAGTTTATATTGCATCAATCTTACAGCTCCTGTTGATAATTCAAAATCTAGGGAAGTAGGGAAGGAGAGGGAGAGGGAGAGGGAGAGGGAGGGAGGAGAGGGAGAGGGAGAGGGAGTACCCAGTGTTTTCATCATGTACAAAAAACATCAAGTAGCCATCATCCTCCTCAATTGTGGTCCCAGCTTCACGAGGCACAAAAACTGCCTCTGATCCAAACTTTCCTGGTCCCAAGTCAAAAATGCCTAGCACATTTCCACCAACCTCAAGCTCTCTTTTCCCAGCTTTAGGCTCAGCAAGCAAATCAAACTTTACAACGCCCTTCCCCTTGGCAATATTGCCAAGAATGAGACCATAGACATATCGCTGTTTCCTAAAAGCACAAAATAGCAACAAAATCATTCGAGGAATAGATAAAATCCCAAAGGAACTATTATTTAATTGATTCTATGTTTGAAATACTTCTAAGAATCAAATTGAGTTTTTCTATCATTTGATATAAGAGAGGTTTAACAACACCTCTGCCTTGACATTTGACTTCAAATGAGTACTTGGTATTTAAGGTTTGATAGAATACAAAATTTAGTTAATTTGTTGATTTTAATTAAAACTAAAGTTAAAAATTTTATGGAAGTTAGATTTCTAGCATATTTTGATTTATAACTTCGCTTCTCACAATCATCCCTTGCAAATACAAATTCAAGTCTTCTTCGAATATATTTTATTTGAAAAATTTGTACTAAAAGTATAGAAATTTTTAAAGGCTTAAGAACCAATAGCTTAATAAACTAGTTGGCATGATTTATTTGAGCCAGTGAGATTGTTGATTTTCGCTACATATATTGGCAATAAGAGAAATTAATAACTAGCCACAATTTCAAATTTATGTAGGCAAAATGAATGTTTTGGATGAGAAATCCTAATCAAGTACTGACAATTGCCTGTTCAATGGCATGATTAGTTTGGGTTTGGGTAAGTGGAAGAAGTTAAGTAGGGGTGATGTAGAGTAGGAAAGAAAAATTTTGGGTGAAGAGAGGGTGGGACAGTGGTGGATTCTAGGAAACCTAGAATAGGACCAATGTTAGGCTACCTCTGCTACCAAATGATACCGGAGTTAACCTAAATAGCAATAGACAAACATATATTATTAATGAAAAAACCAATAAGCAGTTACAACCAACACACTTGAAAGTGAAACGCAACAACAAGCATAAGAAAACACCCCTAAAGTGTATCCCAAGGATGGTGGAGGTCGAATATTAAAATCTCAATGGCTGGCGGGTGTGGGTGTGACGACAACAAAGGAATGTTGATAGCAGTGATGGGTGGGGAAAAATTGCAGGGACAACAAGTATAGATGTTGTCCTAGATGGTGGTAGCGAGGAGTTGGAGTGCATAGCGGTGAAACAGCAAGAAGGCGATGTTCCTTGGTTGTCCTAAGTGGTTGCAGTGCAAGAAGGAAAGGGGGAAGAGGCTGGGAGACTAGAGGCTACAAGAAAACATCGAAGGGGTTGTTTTTTGTGTGGTTGCAACTCATATGGTAATGGCGACAATGGAGGGGTGAGAAAGTCGAGGATAATCATCTCCTTGGATGAGACACTGTCAGAGTACCACACATCATCGGAGACAACCCTAGACGGTAAATCCTGGGCACCACGATTATCCTAATAGAAAACAATAAGAACTAAGCCTAGTCTCTCACGAAAGCAAATATATAATAAGAGGATAATTAGGAGTGACCAAAGAGGATCGACCGACTCCTCAGAAGGAAGTAAATATGGAGCGATTTAGTCAAGGCAAAAACGTGAGGCAGGAATTTCCGCATGCGGGGCGCGGTTCTGCATCTGCCTGGGCACTTGACACCTCAAGTTAGAGGGAGGGAGGGTTGGGGGGAGTTCAATGAAGGAAGTAAATATGGAGCGATTTAGTCAAGGCAAAAACGTGAGGCAGGAATTTCCGCATGCGGGGTGCGGTTCTGCATCGGCCTGGGCACTTGACACCTCGAGTTAGAGGGAGGGAGGGTTGGGGGGAGTTCAATTTATGCTCTGTTCATTCGGGACCTTCAAGGAATAAATTTGGCTTAGATATATCATGCGAGAGAGTGGAGTGGGAACGGTTTTAGAAATCGAACGTGAGACGTGAGTGGAAGCAAGTAGGTTTAACTTCTTTTTTCTTTTCAAAATTAGGAGTCAACAAAAAAAATGTGTACAAGAGCACATTATGCAAATGTGAAATATTGGAGCTCAATTGCACACACTTGAGATCGATATGTCTGAGTTTTTTTTGTGCATTATATTTTAAATACTCTTCTACAACAATATAATTCCTTCAAGATATATTATAACACACATAAGAATAAATATCCAGTTAACAAGCTTTTGATCATGTGTTCAAGAAGAGAGAAGATAAATTAAAAAATTACTTGTGTCAAGAAAAAAATGAAAAGATAAATTACCACCCCAGATAAAATTTTAAGAAAATCCAAGTGTTTCTTCAATAAGAATAAGAAGCATAAAAAAGTATTGCATCAAATTTAAAAATTGACTTCACAAATAAAACAATATTACTTGTGTGTTATGAATTTAATATGGCAAATATTATTTATAACACTTGGTAGATTGATTCTGGTTCTATAATTCATATTTCCAATATGTAACAGAATATGCGAAACTTAAAGTTAGTGGGAAGTGAGCAAAATATCTATTCAAGAAACCAGATACACTCAAATGTAGAAATTATCTCGACATGTTATCTAATATTTAGTAGTGGTTTTACTTTAGAATTAGAAAAGAAGTTTTATGTATTTTACTTTTCTAAGAATTTTAATTTCTATCCCAAGACTTATACATTTGGATTATTCCTTTAATTTTTAAAAAACTTATGTTTGTTTGTGTTATAAATAAAAATTTATTGGGAATGTTACTTTGTCTGAAGGTATTTTTATATTAATTTGCAAAATAATTCTACTTATGTATGATGCAAACTCAAGCCAACATCAAAAAATATGTTACAAAAAATTTAACTATATTCCAGCACCGATGATTAACATATAACTTCATAGATAGAACTAAAAGATTTTTAAGAGAAAATATTACTTTATACTTTAGATTTTTTTGTTTTTGATACCTACGTAAATTGCATAAAGGGAAAACAAATTAACGAATCTAAAAAAAGTGAAAAGAGAAGTACAAATATATTAGAAATCATATAAATAAATTCTGTTGTTCAAATATGAATTTTTATGATCAAAATATCTTTATCAATGATTACTCGTGATATATGAATCTCTACATGCATTAGATAATTAAGAGCTTTAAGTACAGATAAAATAACAAAATGAAAAATAGTTTTAAATTGTGTGATCTCATAGAGATGATGAGTATTTTGATAGATATACTAAAGATGGAGAAGTGGTTGGTACAATTGTGAACTTCCCTTGAGAAAATAAAAAATATTATCAAATATAGTTCACCCAACTCACCAAATCAAAATAGTGTGGCTGAAAGAACGAACCGAACACTAATACATATTATGAAGTGAATGAATAGTTGCTCTAAAATAAATGAATTCTTGTGAACTTTAGAACACTAATGGATCATTTGATATTTTTTGTGCATCAATATTTATTGTCAATTGCAATGCAAATGCTTGTTGTTGTTGTTGTTGTTGCAATGGAAATACCAGGGTTGCTTACCATTCTAAAATAATAATTATTATAACAACATCCAAAAGCCTACAAATGTGAAGTACACTTTTGGGCAATAAGTGCAAGTGAGCATAAAACAGACATCAATAAAAAAAGATAGGAAAAAAGAACATCAATATTTAATATAACTAATTAGTTGGAAATTTTATTCCCTCTTCTATATTCCAAAATTACCTGCCAGTGTAGTTTTCATTAATTCTAGGAAAATCCACTGCAGGTGCTGACAATTCCTTCTGAGTAGCTGCACCCGTTTTCAGATTAAACCTCATCTCATACCTGGAACAACAGATTAAAATTTTAAGGGAGAACAAAAGGATGAAGCAAAAAAACAATAAGAAAATGAAACATACAGTTGATTAGTGAAATTGTCTGGTCTATCTTCTGCAGCTCCGTTGACCATGTCCAGATCAGGATTCTCAAGGCGACAAGTAATAAGAACAACTTCATCTCCTTCTTCCCAGGCATTTGCTAGTAAGAATGAAGAAAAAAATTCAGAAGTTATGCGGTAAGGCATATGAATAAAAAAAATGAAAACGCCATAAGATAAGAAAGCAAGCTCCATGACAAAGAAGTGCAAGTAGTTTCATTCAAGTACTTGATGAAATAATCATTACCCTTAGGATCTGACTTTTCTATTATAAAAAATCATGCCCCTAAAATAGCAAAGTGCTTTATGAAAAATCATGACGGTTTTCACGGATCATGTTATTTTTCTGAGATAAAATCTATTTAAGTTCATAAGAAGTTTAAGATCGTATAAAAAATAGAAACATATGCATCCATCCTTCTATAACATCATATGATATGGATAAAACAATTCACCATAATTTCAACAAAATAGAGGCATTGGTAAAGAAATCTCAACAAAATAGAGGCATTGATAAAGAAAGACGGAAAGCTTTTATTGAAGTAATTATAAATGAAGACATCAAATAGGATTGAGATAATAATCTATATAATGTCCTCAACTAATCTCACAAACTTGGACAAAGATGGATCTCTTAAAGCAACTTTATGAAAATCTTGAATTTATTCTTATTGGAAGCAGCACAAAAAGCTTTAATTTGTAAATAGTTAGTTCGTTTTATTTGTAGTCTCAATTAGGGTTAAAATGTTGCATTGGCTGAGAAATGTTATATTGTATTTCCTGGCTTGGGTTAGTTTGATTTGATTAGCACGATTTCAGCTTCGGCTAAGTTTATGCAAATAATACCAACAAAAAATTTGAATAGATTATGTTGGACTACATTCTATCCTCATGCTAAGGGAGTATTAGGAGATTGAGTTGTTTTAGACAGTTGTTGGGCTTGGAATTATTCGGTAATTAAGAAATTATTCATTAAACAAACAAAAGAAAAAAAAGGGACAAAGGTTTTTGACATGGGCTAAATTGCAGGGTGTAAGGAATTACTGCTCCACGTGCAGTTCCTGAGCCTAAAAGTCTGGTTCTGAAATGAGTGGCGGGATTTGCATGCATGCATGATATTTTTTGACTGATTTAAAAATTCAAAATTGATTTATTGTTGTTTGGTTGCTGTGGAAATTTAAGATTAAATTGGGATTAATTTAAACATAAATTTAGGCCAATCCAATTTCAATATTATCTACTAACCAAAGTTATGAAGAGTTTATAAATAGTCCCAAGGCATGCAATGAAGAATGTATAACTTGAAAATTTTCTTCCTAGTTTTCATCTTGTGAATGCAAGCTGAATTTGGGCTTCCGTTGAGTAAGTTATAGAAGCCATGAATCACTCTTATATCTGCATGGGCTGTGATTTTCTTGCATTCATAATCAGGTACATTGTTATATTTCATTTGTATAAATTATTATTGGCTTATTTGGTGATTTTCATTTTGATCCTAGTGATAAGTTGGAATTCTGATTGATACTAGAGTTAACCTAACCACAATAGAAAACATATTTTATGAAGCACAAAACAATAGGATTACAATTAAGATTCAAAATAGAAGAGAAAATAAAATGCAACACGACTCCCCGGCTAGGGCGAGGCGAGATGACCAGCCAGCAGCGGTGAGAGGGCAGGAATGATAGGTGGCCGGTGGGAATGGTGATACCGGAGTTAACCCAAACCACTACTAGGATGCGACAAATTTATTGTGGAACTTTAAACAAGTACAGAGATGACTCTTTACCAAAGTAAACATAAATAACAATTGTAAATAACACAAATAACAGTAACGAAACAATAAATAAACAATGAATGAAATGACAATTGCAGAAAATAGACTAAAGAACGAAACAAAAAATAGTCCTGGAAGGTGCCGAGAGGTGGCTGGAAGGGGTCGGAGAGGGGCCAGTGACGACTAGAGGAGCGTAAGATGAATCTTAAGCATTAGGGTGTGACGTAGAGCAGGTTGAGGATGGTCAACAAAGGTAGGAGAGGTTTATGAGTTTTCTCCATCCGTGCTTGCTCTGCTTCAGAGTTAAGCGATAACACTTTAGATAGTTTGAAGTGACTACCTAGGGAGTGCTAATTGGTTTCGCATCACTTATGTTGAACCTCTATAGGATATTTTTTACATACTCTACCTGAGACAACTTCAATGTTCTTGTACTATTGTCCCCGTTGATTCTCATCACGAGGATCTTTTTAGTTGGACCTAAATCTTCATCTCAAACTCACTTGATAATTGTTTCTTCTAAGTCCTTGTTTGTCTCAATATCTTACTCTGCAGTCAGCATGTCATCCATAAAAAGGAAGTAAAATATAAGTTATCAAAGTGTTTAATGAAGCAACAATGGTCTGTCTGACACTTCATATACTCATTATCTGACATGATCCTGTCAAACCTCCTGTACCAATATGTTGGGGCTTGCTTCAAGCCATAAAGGCTCTTCTTCAATCTGAAAACTAAACTTTCTTTGTCTGGAACCTTATAACCTTGTGATTGCACCATGTATAGCTCCTCCTCAGATCTCCATGTAAGAAAGCTGTTTTTACATCCATTTGCTCCAAATGTAGATCTTCCTTTGGTACTGGGCTCAGCATAACCTTGACAATCGTCATCTTCACCATCGAGGAGAAGATCTCTGTGTAATACACTCCTTTCTTCTGCTGGAAACCCTTCACAACAAACCATGCCTTGTAGCGCTTGCTACCGTCTGACTCCTCTTTCAACCTGTAGATCCACTTGTTGTACAGTGCCCTTTTGCCATTTGGTAGTACCGCAAAATCCAAAATCTGATTTGACTCCAATCCAAAGAATGCATTTCATCCATGGCGAGCTCTCACTCCCTTGAATCTTCAACTTGAGTGATCTCCTCAAAGCACTCCGGTTCACCACTATCAGGTAATAACAAATAGTGTAAAGAAAGAGAATACCTTTGTATGTGTTGTTTCACTTTGCTGGATCTTTTGACTTATGTAGCATGTGACTGAGGAACTTCCAGTGCTCATTGTGATTGAGCACAACTTCTTTCTCCATCTTCTTTATCACCAGTATCTTCTATCTCCACATATATGGATTCTTCAGAAGTAACTAACAGAATGTACTGAATTTTAACCCTGTCCTTGTACATATCCATTTCGTTCTGATGAATTTTTTATTTTGATAATCCCAGAACTTATACCCAATCTCATCTGAGTCACATCCAATGAAGGTGCCTTGACAGATTTTGAGTCAAACTTGCCCTTAGACCCTACATCAACATGCATATATGCAGAACACCCAAATACTCTTAAATGAGATAGACATATCTTTTTATCACTTCAAGCTTCTTCAGGTAAGCCTTCCCCCAAAGGTACTGATAGAATACAGTTTATCAGACAAACTGTTGAGTTTACTGTTCTGCCCAAAATTATTTTAGCAAGCCTGCAAGCAGTCTCATGCTCCTAGCAGGATACGTGATTGTTCTCTTCATGCGCTCACCCACACCATTCTGTTATGGTGTCCTTGGAACAATGATTTCATGTCAGACCCCCTCTTTAGCACAAAAATTCCTAAATTTCTGATCATAGTACTCAATCCATTATCTGATTTGAGACACTTCAGCTTCAAGCTTATCTCCTTTTCTACCATAGCCTTCTATTTTTTAAGGACTTCAAATACATCAGATTTCTGCTTTAAGAAATAAACTTGTACTTTTTCTCGTGTGATCGTCAACAACGTGACAAAATAGCGAGAGCCTCCAATAGACTGAACTAGAGTTGGACCACATACATCAGTATGCACTATGTTTAGTTTCTTTGATTTCACCACTGACCTGCTCTTGAAGAAGAAACATTCTTCTTGTCATAAATACAGTCTTCACATAAATTCAATCAACTGATTTCAGACCCTGAAGCTTATTCTTTGAAAGTAGGGATTTCATACATATCTCGCTTATATGGCCAAGTCTATTGTGTCACAGACCTGCATTCATCCTGGTACTAGCTACATCAATGAAATCAGTCATTTCATTGATCAGATAAAGGGTGTCTTCCATGTTGCCCCGTGTCATCACTAATGCCCCCTAGTCACCTTCCGAGAAACAACTCTGAAAGTAGTCACGAGTCCGAACTCTGCCAGTAGGCTCATAGAGATGAAATTTCTCTTCAAACTTGAAATATGTCTAACTTCAATAAGCTTTCAAACTGTTCTATTCGACAACTTGATATCAACATCAACTTTTCTAACTATACTGCAGGTCTTGTTATCTCCCAGATAAACCATTCCTAAATCATTATGAGTGTAGTTATTAAATACCTTTTTTTAGGGCAAGGGCAAGCATAAAAAGAGGCATCTTAATCCATTATCTAGGATTCAGTGTTAACTAGAGATAACACCAGGGAGTCATTTTGGATTTCACCTATGGAGACATTAGTAGAGAAACTACTTTTCTATCCTCCACCACCAGCTTTCCTTGGAGCTTTGTGGTCCTTCTTAAAATGCCCATTCTTACCACAGTTTCAGCATTCTCCTCTGCTTGACTTGAGCTTTCCTTTCTTGGACTTGGATCTGCCTCTGTCTATATTTCTACCCAGATTCCTTCCACTGTTATCAACATTCAACGCAAAACTTGAGGATTTATCATTCACTGCTTTTCTAATAACTTCTTCATTAAGCATCAGACTCACGATATCATCAAAGTTCAACTTAGAAGTCCCTGAAGAATTACTCACTGTCATTATCAAGTCATCCCAACTTTCCAGCAATAAAGATAATATCACCAGTGCTCTGACCTCATCATCAAACTTGATCCCTACAAAACACAACTGGCTCGTCACAGTGTTAAAATTTATTGAGATGCCCTGCCACTAAACTATCTTCCACCATTTTCATATTAAATAATTTCTTCATCAGAAAAACTTTATTGGAAGCAGAAATATTTGCATACATCTTGGTCAGTGTCGTCATGAGATCCACCGTAGTTTTCTCATTCACAATGTTGAACACAACAGATGAGCAAAGTGTAAACTAGATCAAACCTAGTATTGTTCGATCCAACACTTCCCATTTCTCCATAGGCATGGATTCAGGCTTCCTTCTGATTCCTTGTAGTGGCAAGTGCAATTTTTTCTAATACAACAAATCCTCCACCTGCATCTTCTAAAAAGTGAAGTTCGTCCTATTGAACTTCTCCACTTTTAACCTCGTTTCTTCAGCCATTAATCTCACTTGAATCAAAACCCGTTCTAAAATCAGTTGATAGGAATTACATAATGAACAATTCTCAACTTTACCGTGGCTTAGAATCAATTAAAAATTAAACCACACCGCGGAATAACGGGATCACAGAATTTGAGAAGACCGAAACAAATAATTAAACACGAAAGCACAATAAAGCAACCAGAAAAGCATACATGGATTTTACGTGGAGAAACCCAAAGGAAAAAAACACGGAGCTATACAACCAGAAATTCCACTATGAAAATCAGAAAGAAGAAAACAGCAAGCATATTGATCCACGCTCAAATATTGTCTTAAAAATCATTTTTTCGTGTAGTGACTGTAACGGGGCGCTTAGGCACCCAAACTTGGCGCCTAAGTGCCAAGTGCTGTGTATTGACGTTCCATAATGGGCATCTAGGCACCAATAGGCTAATGCCTATGCACCGGTCTCTCGGGAATAAGAGCAGCGCCCGCTTTGGGCGCATATGCGCCCAAAGCCAGCACCTTTGTTCGAGCAGCACCCAAGTAGACGCTTAAGCGCCCACAACCCGGTGCTAATGCGCCAATGCCTTAAGCTTAGGCTCCACAGCCCAACAAGGTTGGCCTACATCATTTGCACCTTTGAAAAAATGATACAATGATACTCATCTCCTAATCAAGTTGAAAGTTCATGTTCAGCCAAATTAACAAGAGCTAAATAACTAAAAATAATAATTAGAATGCTAAGCTCAACGCTCGATGTGGTTAGAACAGATGATAGCAAACAAAAACATAGAAAATAGATCAACTTTACTAGTTGCATATTTAGATGTCGAAAATTGAAAACTCAACTTTCAAACAACAATTGACCAAACAAAACGGAGCTGAATGTCAATGACCGATATGACAGTAGCATACAATTATAGAGCAAAAATGAGATCAGCCTTTGGTCATTGCGCCAATTACATCTTGAGAAAGGAACATATAATCTTTAAATAAAGTATTTCTCAAGTTAATGTACACTTTTCGAGCAAAGAAAAATTGGAGAAGAGTCGGTAATCGAGCAGCTCAAGCCTCTCACCATCCAATGGATATTTTAGTTTTGAACTCAATAAAGTAAAAAAGGTTTTTAATAAAATAATTCAAGACAAATTAAGACATTGAAGGTGTCCAAAGTTCCAACTCTTCTTTAGCTTCCAGGTCTAATATTTTAATAGTAGCACACATAGGTATCCTCTGTTCAACTCTGCAAAAAACATTTTCATTTCCTACATATGAGATAGTTCCACATCTACATTCCTAGACTGCTCAATAAGGATTAGGCATTTTTTGGGGGCAAGTATTTAAAAAGTCAATTCTCTATCCACGTAATGTTATTTAAAAAATCACAATAATAGTATTTTCTAAAAGGCAAGAAACGAAGTAGTAGGAAAAATTTTAAAAGAAGCTGTATATATTATATTATACCAGTTATAAATTTAACTTAACTAGAGTCACCACTGAGTAAAAACCTATGAGAAAAGATTGCAAGACCCGTCAGAAACAAAATGAACATCTACCGCAAGTTTCATCAGAATTACCATTATGAAATATGAAGCAATTAGGAAGATCAAACCATCTAATCAGTTGCTCATCTTTTGCATATCGGGGAAGCACACCAAATCTCGCCTTCTTTGTTGGATCAAATGTAAATATGAACTTTCCCTTCACAATTTCCTAAAGAAAGGGCAATGTAAAATTTGTTGGAATTTAGAAATATAAACATAGTTGAAAGGCTGAGGTGTAGTGACTCTTAAAGAAGGCGAATACTATGACCAAAGAAGACCTCCAGCAACCAGCTCCTAATTAGGTGAAAAGTAAGCCTTCTAATTAAAAAAGGGGCATTCAAATACATAGCACACAATTCTTATTTTTTTACATACCTCACACCTAAACTTTCATACTTACACGCATAACACTCAAAAATTGCATTGTTACCACTTTTTAAAAGTTAAATACACATTTTCATGCATAGGATTAAAGCACCAAAGTGCTATGTGTGTAAATATGAAGGTTTAGGTTTGAAATATGTAAATATATAAGAATCGTGTGCTGCGTACGTAAATTTCCCATTAATAAAACATATGATAGCCATATACGTAAATTTCCCATTAATAAAACATATGATAGCCGTATAAAAAGTGTCACCTTTGGTCGGAAACACAAAGGAAGATCCATGAAAACTGCAAAATTCTCAGTGATAGCGAAGTCATGCATCATAATAGGCTCAGGAATTGTTATTGGTACAGGATTGTGCATAACACCATCCTTTGTAATGACCCGATAAGTAATATAAGGTGGTTTGTGTGAATAACCAAATGTAAACATCTCATCTGCAACCAAAAATAAACAACCCAAAAGGCTAAACTTAACTCTGTTGCCTAAGATAAAGTAGGCTATAGACTCGTCATTCTTACCAGTAAATGGATCAACTTTTGGATGGGCCGTAAATGAGTGTGCAAGCCTCTTGTCATAATCAAGCATTCCAAGAGTTTGCAGGTCTCCATCTTCTAAAACTTTGATTACATCTATATAATGCAGAGAACAATTTCTGCTTCAACATTTCTTAAAATACTAATAATACAAAAAGCTTTTCCTTCTACCAATAAAAATTCAGATTTAAAAAAGGAGAAAATTATTTACCTAGCACTCAATTTTTTTTGTATTTACATATCTCACAGCTAAACGTTAATACTTACATACATGGCACTTTGGTGCTTTAAATTAGTGCATGAAAATGTGTATTTGACTTTTAGAAAATTGAAATAATGCTCTTCTTTAAATTAGTGCATGAAAATGTGTATTTGACTTTTAAAAAATTGAAATAATGTTCTTCTTTATGTGATATTAAAGATTTGAGTGTTATGTGTATAAATACGAAAGCTTAGGTGCGAGACAAGTAAAAATATAAGGATTGCTATGTACGTAAATGCCCCAACAAAAAAATGAGCATTGAAACGCCAAACAGATAAGAGAAGTTATACAGAGTATTAATAATGCTTACATGGTTTATCAGCTTCGGATAAAGCCAGAAGTTTACCATGATGGTAAATCAGAGCAGTGTTTGCTGTATAAAATAAGATAATTTGGTGAATTACAGAAGCAATTAAGTGGTACAAAAAAATAATAATTGAGCAAACTCGTCATGGAAACTGATAAACAGTGTGAAAACCTACAATTAGGTTATAATATCTTTCTGACCCAACCTCATATCATGCAATCAACAGAATTAAAGCATATTAGCATACCTGTTGAAGTTCCATATGAAACATCCAATACTTTGAGTTTTTCCCTAAGAAGTTGCATATGAACCATAAATAGACCAAATAATCCCTTGAGGTCCCCAATCTAGAGGCACAAAAACATCATCATAAGTTATGCACAATTTCACAGGTTTGATATTGACAAAAAAAAATAAATAATAATAATAATAATAATAACATAATTGGAAAATTTATATACATACCATCATTTCCAATGTATTTACGCCTGTTGAAGTTCCATATGAAACATCCAATACTTTGAGTTTTTCCCTAAGAAGTTGCATATGAACCATAAATAGACCAAATAATCCCTTGAGGTCCCCAATCTAGAGGCACAAAAACATCATCATAAGTTATGCACAATTTCACAAGTTTGATATTGACAAAAAAAAATAAATAATAATAATAAAAATAATAATAACATAATTGGAAAAATTATATACAGACCATCATTTTCAATGTATTTACATATCTAACACCCAAAATTCAATTTTTACATACATACCAACCTTACCTATGCATGAAAATATATAATTAACTTTTAAAAGTTAATATAGTGGTATTATTGACATGATATGACAGATTTGGGTGTTATAAATGTAAAAAGGAAAGTTTAGGTGTTAGATATGTAAATAGATAGGAATTGGGTGGTATGAATGTAAATGCCCCATCAGAATTTACCTTCATAAATTTTGCTCTTCCAAAATATTCTTCTTGCTTAAGCCTGGACGTCTTAACATACCTAGAAACATAAGCTGCTTTTCCATCTTTGATACGCAAGCCATGAAGCATTCTGTAGGGTTATTAGAAAACAACAAGAAACAGTATTCATTTACAACATAGAGACATGAAAACCCTGAGGTATTTTAGTCTTCAACAATCAAGAAAACTAATTCTAGTAGCAATTCCCAATGCGTGGCATAACTTTAGAAGTTTAAATTGATAAAATTTTGATGGCTCAATAACATGAT